GTTAAATTGGTATTAGTGGAGGCTATCGATCGTGAGTACACAACCGGGATGGGGATAGAGTCGCTGCGATTGCGATGAAATATTTAGAAGGTGGCCATTTTCACCAGGATGTACGCTACCATTACGTAATTGGGGCACATCATTTAAAATTGAATCGGTAACGGGTTAATTAAATTAGTTGACTAACGTATATCCATGCCAAATCTATTTTACGCAAGCGTTTACTTATTTCACGTTACTTACATCCTTTCAAAAAGTAAAAAAAACTTCCTTGGTTTTCAATTAATTTGTAGTTTACGTACATATAGGTACAGTACTGAAATTAATAGGTCATTTACAACATTTAAATACAAGTGTACGATTTAATTGGAATATCGGTGGTAACTGAACCCCATGCAAAGTCCACGCTAACAGGTTTGCCGCATTTGGTTGCATGCGTTGCCGTTATTTTACGTAGCCCGGTTGCATCATTAGCCGGAAACGAAAGCTATTTTACCGTCAATTATATTAATTAATTCGATAGAGTCGATGGATAAATGTACACGTGTACGATTGCCAAAGCGAAGCACGCACAGCTAGTCCGCACGCTAAACATTGCCGCGTCCGAGCAACCACAGCACAATTATCGAAATGTTGTACTGTGTAGCTCTGTTGTAATCTGCAACCTGATTTTACTAAAATGTTGGTTTAAATAGCAATTCATAATGTCATGAACAGAATTCTGTTTCTACTAACCTCCGACTGTAAACTGATATAGCCGAACTCATACTTTTATGATAAATTGTATAACAATATGAAAATTATCTTCCGTGTGTTCATTATCTCGTGGGAGATTATAAAAATGAGTTACACGTTAAAGCACTATCTTTAATCCCGTATGCATAGTTTCTGTACTGGTTAAGTAAAAGCGGGTTGGAAAGTAAGCATTGTCTTATTATCAACGGAATACTAATCGGATAGGAATGGAGCGCGTAGTGAGGAGAAGTTCAGGGAGACTCCAAAGGTGGAGGCGGTACGAAGTGCGGCTGCGACGACACCGCCTCCAAGTCTTGCCTAAAATTAACGCGCTCATTTGCATTTTAGTGTGTTGTTAACCCCGTGTAACTTCAATGCATCCCTAATTCACAATATTTGTTAATGCACTCGAAACGGAACTTTATCGTGTTCGGAGTTCCTCCGCTCTGGGAAGCTTTATAATGTCCCAGAAGGTGACCTGGCTCGCAAATGGACCATTCCTTAAGTTTACATTAGCGAACATCAAATTCCTCTAATTTGAATATATTTTATTTTCTCGATTTGTAAGTCTTATATTAGATGTCAGGTGAAACAATTTTGAAAATTCACGGTGAAAATTGGTTAAATTGTTTCAGAGATTTACACCTCATTACCGTTATTGGGACCGGTGGTGTGGCGGATACGAAAGGATTTAGTTGTCAATTAGTCCGACGAACCAGACCTTTGTGGTGCAACTCGTTAACTGAAAAGACCGGAACAGCACCACAAGACAGTTGTAATCTTGCAGGGCGTACGTTGTTTAGTCTGGCGTTAAATGGTCATCTGGTTAAGGAAAGGTTTTCCTTCGTTTGCACCTGTTAACCATTTACCCAGCTCCCATGCCCTAACGCTCCAATACCACTAACAATGTTTGCAATATTCCACTTGATAGGGTCGAAATGGATATACAACAACGTTGACGATTCTTTCTATAGCAGAACTATTATTAAAAAAACAAAAACATACTAACATTATCTTTTAATTAAAATCTACATGTTTTTTAATTCGTTTATCTGTCACGATATTATGTGGTTTATAGATTTTCCCTATGTGGTTTTTGTTGGTCATCTATCCTTTACTGCTGAAATTTGCAAGTGAAATCAGTAACCACTCCCCAAGTGGTACTAAGTATTAATCGTCGTATCGTCGCCAATACGGTAGTCTGCCTAGTGCATTTAGTTTTTGTCCGTTGGGGATGTTCCGGACTTTCTGGAGAGGCGGGAGGTGGCATGATTTAGGGGGTTTCGTCGGTCTAGAAACAGTGTGAAAAACGAATGGAAGGGAGCACATGCACGACATTAAGCGGGCTCCTGGGCGGCTGGTAATGCATGTAAGTGTTTTGTAAGTAGTGGGCCGCGATCCGGACGCCATACTAAGTAGCCGTCGAGAGATGGCGGCAGTCCGCGGTCGTAGGTGGGGCCACTGCCGCCAGGGGGAACGGGGCCGGGCTGTAATGGCGAGACTCTACGCCATCTGGATCCGGGGTTAAGTGCTCGCCCGGGTCCGGCAAAGGAACACCCATTCATCTTGATGCGTTGACTTCTCCTATAAGTTAACTAGCCGACCGAGAGAGAAGAGACACTCCATACCCATTTGGCCGTCCTCGGACCGGACGACCGGATGGGTTTCCTAAGGGATGACACTGCACCACACCTCCTCCTATTCCCGAGACATGATACATTGGCGGAATTGCGGTAGATTGGAACAGGAACCGCTCGGTTCGCGATGACGAGGTCACCAAGAGGATCGAGAATGCGAAATTGTACATTTGCATTCTGATAAAGGGAGTTTCATTACATTAAATCGAAATGGATAAGAAATTAATTTCATTATGCAATTAATTTTGATAAATATTATAACTTTATCAAATTCACTTTATTTTCTACGAACATATTAGTTAAAAATACATATTAGAAAAAATTGTTTTTTCTGGCATGCATAGAACGTGATTACCAAGGTCAGAGAAATTCTTCATATCAGATCGATGACAACTACGCTTAAAGACCTTTCAACAAGACTCTTATAAGAGACATTCAAAGAAACATGATACAAATGTACATAAATCATAGTGTACGTATATCGACTAAACACTTATCATTATTATGGTTATTTTTGTGAATAAATCTTTGAAAATGACATCACTTTGTATTTTGTATGGTTAGCAAAAGGCCATCTTGTTATATCATTTCAACATCAATTACCGTGGACGGTTACTAGCGGTATTGCAATAGGTACCTGTAGTGCACTTCTCTACATTCATACATATTTACGAGTTTCAAAAAATGTTTTTTAACGGCACCCGCTTCCATTTGTCGTCCAAGCTATGGAACGTTGTGCTTACAAAGCGCGCAGAATCGACTGGTGTCGCTATGTCCACGTCTGTTCCCGCCGTGGTATTTATTACCTCTATTTTCAGAGCCGGCTCTCTGTCATTGCGTAAAATGGAATTTTGCTGCAAATGCATAGATTATCGCTTATATGATCAGGCCGTGTGCATTCTCGTTCGGTCTCTGTGCTGTACACGGCATTGCCATTTACCCGGTTTCCTACTGGTCGGAAGTTGAAAAAATTAATCGGATATCCAAAGGATGCTATTTACCAATATATTTTCTCGTTTTCGTTATTTCTATGTTTGAATTTGTTAAAAAGATTTTTCTTTGATTATTTGAAGTTTTTAAGCCTAAATTAGAATTTGTTTGAAACTGAACATATGTTCTAAACTTTTAAGTAAACTCTGGGGGCACAAAGAGCACATGTGTTCCATTACGAAAATGAAACATTTTTCAGAGACCCCATCAATGTTTATCACACGGACGATATGTAGATGTAAATGTGGCGTGATCTATTCGGGAATTTCAGTTAAAGGGCTGGACCCAAGAAAATATATGACCGAGAAGGGAAATCCGACGCACACTTTTCTCACATATAAAGTGATATTTGATGGAGCGGCAATGCGTCCGCTTTTTCCTTTTTTTTTTTTGATTCATTGCAAGTTTTTCCATTTTGAACCACAAACGCCGTTGCTTCGACGAGCATATGATTTATTTTAATGACGACAAGCCACAGAATGATACGTCAAATCACTTTCGCTTCATATATCCTTTTACAAACGCTCCCTTACTTTTTCGCATTTTTCTACCCCATTCAAGCGATACAATGGGGTGTGAAAAATAAACGTCAATAATTTAGGTATATCGTTTATTAAAAGATGTCTCAAAACATATCGAATTTGATTGTCTAATGTTTAAATAAAATGTATTATCGATTTATAAAAATCGAAATTTTAGATGTTCTCATTCTTAGTTTGCCTTTATATGTCGACGTTGGGGATTCAAAGTTGCACGCAGCTTAGGTAATACACCAACAAATACTGTGTGCGGACATAGCGTTTCCGGTCCGTAATGCGGCAGTTCACATTCACGTGCGGTCCCGAGATAACAACACGCACCCAACGGGGCGCGTCTTTGTTCGTGGAATGGTAAAGGTCGATTACGCCGGTATAGTATCGACGAAACCGGGCTATGCTCCAGTTTATTACTTGGCCACAAAAGGCTGCGGATTTGCGCGTTTGCCGTAGGTAGATACAACAAGGCTGATAAACTTGATTTAATTTCGCGGCGATCAACGCTGGACACCCACGCTTGATCTTGTTTTACGTGCTGCTCGGTGTATTCGTTTAGCTGCCTAGGTTGCAAACCCCTGACGCTTTACTTTGTGAGGTTTGTGTTATGTTCGCCACACAACGGATACGAGACCGACGCACGCCCGGCAACGTCGGATAGTTTGTTGCTTTAAGGCCTGCATATCGGTTTCTGTTATTGGTTTTAGTCGGCGAGCTCCCGCCGAGGGACATTAATCCTAACTTATCTGGTTGCAGGGGCAAAACCGAACGAACCCCGCGCTTATTTGTCTCGAATTGGTTGACGTGTGATTTACGGCTAAACTGGATTCTATTTACTTCTAACTCTTACAAAAAACATGCGGTTTGTGGATATTTAGATTCGAGAAGCTCGTAAATTTACAAATTCTGATATCTCGCTTATAAGGATTTCGAAATTTATGTTGTACAAGATTTTATAACAAAAAAAAGAGATAAATCATTTTTGAAATACGTTTTAATATTAACTATACGAAACTTTAAGTTTTGTTAAAGTGTTTTATTGTTTTTACCTTAATGGTTTTAAAGTTTTAGAGGTAATTTGGTTTATTTTAGTAAAACTCTACAATTCGCAAAGATTAATTATTTATTAGTTTTTTCTTTAATGTAGATGGTGAAAGAAGCCAACAAGAAAGTTAATTGTTCGTATCCCATTTTACTTTTTTTAAAAAGCTTTACTTACCGGGTCAAGATGGCGAAAATGCCCCGGGAAAAATACATCATGCTGTCAAGATTTAACGCCTGGTCTGACTCCCTAAGGGAACATCCGGGGGTGCTTTTTTCGACCTTATAATGGTTTAATTTACTTAGCTCCGCACATCGTTTGAACTTTACGTTATCCTGTGGTACCTGAAAATATTAATAATTCCTTATTTATTATTATGTTCTTATTTATTATACATATCACACATTATTCTTTATTGTTTTGATGAAAAAGTTCTATATATTGTAGTAATTCAGGCTCATACGAGTATCTGATTTCATTATTAATGAAAAAATATGACTACATTTTTATCTGTCAGTTGAGAATCGATATTCTTCATGAAATTATCGATAAAGACTTATTTAAAACCATATTGTTCCTGAAATGTAAGAAATTAACCAACAAATCGATACAATATCATTGATAATCACCATTTTGGAAAAACGAAAACATTTAAAATATTTTGATCGACATTGTATGTCGTTCCGAAATTCTACATAAATTATCTTTTGACGTACCTTGTATAACCAAAATTTTAATTATTTTTGAAATAATCCAAGATTGTCAGTAGCTTAGTCGCTATGCATTTGATAAAAAAATTGAAGAACCGACGCTTAAAAAAATAACAATAACAATCAGAGTTGAATCGTAGAAGAAGACGCATCGTTTTGCTTTGAACGTGTTCGACAATGAAAATATACTCAAAAAAAGAACGTAACCCCGATCATAGTGAAGAAGAAGAAATAACCTAATGTGAGTTTGAATATAAAAAAAAACTAGAACTTTAAAAAAAAACTAATTTAATAAAATTTGTGACAATAATCAGAATATAAAAAGGAAGAATAAATTAAAACAATCGATTTGGATTTGGACATCTAGCGTGAGAGTGTGGATCTAGCCGAGGATTTAAATTGAGATAGAGGAGGCGTATATAAAAACCATTGTTTGAAGGAGAAACAAATTACTTCTAATTAAGATAAGTCTTTGATTCATTTTTTTTGTTGTTCATTAACAATTCGAATTTTGAAAATTTAATTTTGCTTTAGGATATTCAGTCCGAGTTAACAACATCACATGATATAAAATTTAAGTCCGTATTAATAATTAAATTGGTTTTTTGAACTGAATCCACAATTGAACCCTGAATAAGAACTTTAATTCATCGATATATATATCATCAAAAATCGTTCACCAATACAATATGTATTAATGAGTAAGGACGTGGGTTAGTTGAAAGCGTCACTCAAGTATAATCTAAATGTATATCCGGGACTTAGGGTGAAGAGCAATTAGATGGCTAATCAATTTAACGTTCCTGCATTTGTCAAGGCGATACGCCGAAGTCTCTCCATCAGTTATACTTCCAACTGTTGAACGTTGGTGTACGATCATCGAAGCCCTGGCTCCATATATCACAGGACCGTCACGTACGGCATTGGAGAGGCGCATTTCTCCTCTCCTGTTCACCCTCTTTGTCCGACCCCTGACCTGTCAAACGCGCGTGCCGACTGCTGCCCAACCCGTCCACCAGGAAGAAATATGACCGTCATTAAACCTATTAATGATCAGGCTAAACATCGATAACCAGTGAATTAATGAACTAATATTGCGAAAATTTGACTGGCCGTCAATAACTTGTGGTGCCTAATCTAATGTGGGAGCGAAGTTAAATTACGTTACACTAAACGGTACTCAATTCTAAACCAAAATTACACGTTTCATCAATAAGCGATTAGAAATTCCATACGGATAGAGTCATCGCTTACGATTATTTAGTGCGTTTTCATTTTTGTATCTATTTTTATATTGTTTATATTGCGCACTGATTACCAATCATAAAAATGTATTGTTTGTTTAGACGGAAATAGGTCGTGATACGTACACAATCGTTCGAATATAATTAAAAAGTGTAACACATGCTTGATTCAAACCAACTCGCAGGTGTTTTTAGCCGTACCGGCTATTAATTACCAAAACAAGCGGATTGTTATCAAAGCAAACAGTGCTATAATTGTTGCAACAGCAGCGTTAGGTTCAGAATTAATTTGTAATTTGACTTATCGTCGATATGAGATCTTCAGTTAATTTAGTTACTAATAATGACTATTATTAAATACGAATACGTGTTAAAGCTCTCATCGTTATGCAATAGTTTCGCTTTGATACTTTACCGCACCAAGGTTTTTTTTTGAATATATAAAGAACGCCAGGATCAATTTATAACCGATGACGTGAAATGATCAATTTTAGCATGACTCTGTGCATCGGCGGTTTCATAAAATCTGGTGCAATTTTCGTCATCCATAACGGTATTAACGATGCCGCCGCCGTGAACTTCGTCCTTGCTTCCAACAGGCGCATTCAAACTTCAATTAAAATTGCATACTTTACACGACAGTAGTGCTGGGGTTGACAGCGTGTCACGATAGCAACTTTATTAATAACAGGTGCCAAAGTAACAACGTAGAGAAGGTGGTAACTTGACGGTGGCTACACCGTAGGCGTAGATGATAGGTAGCAATGTGTGAGCACATCATTAATTAACGTAAGCCAATTATCCTCTCTGTGCAAGGCTTGTCAGGGGATAAGTACACCAGGTGGTGTGGCTGTGTATCCGCTTTCAAGTTTCTGTACTATATATAATAAGAATTAATTCGTTATCCCCTTTAAGCTGATCATTAATATCTGTAAAGCTCGAAGAACTATATATTCTGGAGATACTACGCCATCTATCACAAAGTACAGCTATATATCTGCCTTTTACCATAACCAGAATAAAGTAATGTAAGAATTATTTCCAAATAATAAACTGACAAGCTTCAATTATAAGTTATATAAAAGCATCTTGAAATACACCAAGTTATGTGATAGCACTTACGAAAAATTGGATAGCTTTAAAATTCTAGCCATAATTCACTTACTCCCCGCCGACGAACGTGCGATTGACTATCGGTTCCCATTTCATTAGTTTCTCCCTTCCTCCGAGAAAGTGCCACTTGACTTTAACGTCTTTTTATGCCGATGTTTTATTTATAGGAAACACATCAAAACAAATTACACAAATAGAAGCATGATAAAAGCTGAAGAAGCACTATATTTAAAGACATTTAAATAACAACTATTGGATTAGTACTTAAATAAAAAGTATCCACAATGTTTTTATCGAAATTTCATCAATATTTTAGTGATTTAAATACAAACAAATCACTTTTATTTCTAGTTTACATTCATAGATTATAATTTAAAATTTTTCGTTTTTCTCTGGATGTGTCCATATTTTAATTTTTCCTTGTGAATGAAATCTGTTGTAGTCTGCTTTGTTCTTCAGCTTTAGCTCCCTTCTCTGACAGCAAAAGCAAAATTACCAACATCCAACAGAGAGCCCACCTCATTGTTTAGAAAAGTAATTACGCAGGTGCGCGGATTTGATTAGAGAAGGTGAATTGTTTATATTCGTATTTTGATGGGTCATTTCCATAATTCGAAAGGGAATTCTAATTTATTCGTTCAACAGTAGGTGCGCGTCTTGCCTAGTCGTATAAATGCGAACGAACTGTGTAAAACGTAACGGAGATCGCGTGAACCCCAGTTAACTCGCTTGGTGAACAATTTAACTTTTCAACTATTGCCGCCGTTTGAGCGGCCGCCGCTTGGAGCGTATTCAAGTTTCCAACTTTGGCGAATTTGCGTTCAGTAAGAGTGTTGATGGGAGAATTTAATAGTCGAATTTATTTTAGAATAGTACTGCAAGTATTCCGTATGTGCATAATAAAACGTACGACACGAAATGTCTCATTTTCATGACTTATTTTAATTGAAATATTCATTATTATATTCCAGAAGATATTCTTCATTAATTCGTTGTAATCTCTTGGGTTCTTTGGATTGATTTCATGGCTGGTTAAGTGTTAAAGCAATTGACTTGGAAGCAATAGCACCATATCAACCTCATTAACTATTATGATATCTAAACCTGCAAAATCTACGTTATCAAGTCTTTTCTTGTCCAGCTATAAGCTTTCTTTCTGCCAAAAATCTTATATTGTTAACCCATTTGTGGAAGAAATATAAATATCATCAAGATCATTTTTGTAATGTAGAAGCCTGCGAAACCGTAGTTTGTAGCATGATTTATATACAACTAAAGAGTAGCTAAGATTTGTTCCAGATACATCGTATTCAAGTATACCAGACATACCAGCCTTTTATTTTTGACAACTAAAAAAGGCAGAGACGCAAAGACCTTAAAGTGGAAAGAGGAATGTCGAAGATGAATAAAGTTTCACGTTCTTGAGAAAATGCTACTTTCAAAGAACTGAAAACTTCAATACGATACCAGAAGCTCTTGTTGCTGATAACAGTGTGGATTATAGCCGAAAATGACGTGTGACTTAAATATTAAGTTTTACGCTGCAAAGCAGCCCCACTAACGTTTTTTCAAGATAAATCTTACAAGGTCGCATTTGGATCAAAGATTATTTGAGAATTATTACATTGGATATCTCTACCTCAAATTATAATTAGTCTGTACTAAAGAAAATTAACTGAAATGGACCAAGAAAGTATATTCACATGTTATGCATAAATAAGTAATGAAACATGCAATACTCGTCCATGAAGTGTTAGTTTTCGTGGTAGCATATGTACAACACATGTTTAATTATAATAACGTAATGAATGATAATTATATTTCCGTGGAATTGCATATTTAAAAAGTAGGCTATATTTTAACGTCACAGTAAGGTATAATGGTGATAATAATGTCTCTTTCAAAAGTACTGGCGTGGAAGGCAATGTTACCTGATACCTATCGAGAAATTTAATAGAACGCGCGACGATAAGATTTAATAAAACAACTTCGCTACCTGCACATATACAAGGCGATACGATCAATACTACGCAACGTTGTAATTTAATACGTAAATGGTATCGGCGGTACATAGTGAGTTGGCCGAAGTTGTAAGGTAGGCGAACTCGTCTTTTTATAGCATACTCTGTAAAGTTGTCTTATATAACTTTAACAATATTTAATTTTATTTTTACAATACAAGAGTTGCTACAATATAGTTGAGTTTATTATTTCAGTACGTATATAATTATGGGGTCGATATGAAACATAATAATAACAGGTTATATTTTGATATCG